GCTTGGCCTGTTGCGTGCTGGGCCCGCTTCTCCTCGGCTCGTCATCCTGGGCCTTGCGGACACGCTGACCTTCGCCCACCTCCTGTGGAGCCAAGGGGGGTAGGGGGAGGGGGGAGGGGGACAGCGGAAGACCAGGATGAGTGGGCCCTGAGACTCACCCCAGAGGCCATCACAGAAGGGGGTTCTGGGCCCTGGCTTCTGAAAGGGCCCCCCAGCACTCAGGGGCAGGAGGGGCTGGTGGGGGGCCGGGTGGGTGAGGGGCTTGGCCGCGTGTCCCCACAGCTACACGTTCCAGGTGGTGCAGGGCAACGCGGACATGTTCTGGAAGTTCCAGCGCTACCACCTGATCGTGGAGTACCACGAGCGCCCCGCCCTGGCCCCGCCCTTCATCCTGCTCAGCCACCTGAGCCTGGCCCTGAGCAGGGCCATCAGGAAGACGGAGCACAAGCGGGAGCACCTGGGTGAGGCGGGCGGCCGGTTGTGCCCATCCTGGGGTGCAGCCAGGTCAGGAGAGGCCTGGGCTCCTCCTGGGCCCCGGCGTCCTGGGCTGGGCTCCTTCCAGGCTGACCCAAGCCCCGGGGGCCCAGCCCCGGGCAGCGGAGAGGCTCCCCGCCGCCTGCATGTCCCTGTGCGGGACCTGTCCTTGCCCCGCCCCAAGGCCAGGTCTGGCTCTGCCACTGAGGCCCAGGTGGCGCCGGCAAAGCTTGCTGCTGCCCTGGCCTTTCCAGAGCGAGACCTGCCAGACCCCCTGGACCAGCAGGTCGTCACCTGGGAAACGGTTCAGAAGGAAAACTTCCTGAGCAGGGTGGAGAAGAGGCGGCGCGACAGTGAGGGGGAGGTGCTGCGGAAAACGGCCCACAGGTGCGGGCGAGGGGTGTGGCAGGTGACACCGGGGGACGCGCCTCTGCCCACGGGGCTGCCCAGAAACGCAGAGGCGGCCCCTGCCCTGGGCCAGAGGGACCAGACACACGCCCTGGTGCCGGCGCCAACCTTGGTGTGTCGGGCGCTGTGGAGGTGGCAGGAGAGCCTGATCCCCAGGGGACCTGGGACCTCTGCCCTTATCGCTGGAGGGGCGTCCTCTGGTGCCAGCAACAGCATCTGAGCTGGGGAACCGAGGCTGAGGGGCGGGGCTCTCTGAGGGCTTGTCTGCCCTGTAGTTGGGGACTGTGGGCACTACCCGGTGTCCGGCCTGCTGTGGGTCTTGGAAGTGACACTGGCCCCCTCCTCCCTTCTCTTCGGCCCCCAGTGGTCCATCCCCCGCCCTCGCCTCGGGGGCCCTGTCCTGCCTGGGGTGGGGACCATCCTGCCCTGTGCCCCCCCCCTCCCCCCGCTGGACGGTGCGACCCCGGCAGGGAGGGCGCAGAAGCGCTCCGTACTACAGACCGGGCCGTGCCCTGAGGAGTCCTGGGTGCCACCAGATTGTGCACCCTGGGGAGACAGGGCGGGGGCGACGGGGAGGCTCCCGCATGCGCAGCGCCACGTGGCGGGCAGCAGCCTGACTTCTGCCTGTCACAGGGTGGACGTCGTTGCCAAGTACCTCGGGGGGCTGAGAGAGCAAGACAAGCGGATCAAGTCTCTGGAATCGCAGGCAAGTGACGGCCAGGCCACGAGCTCCTCTCCCCTTCCAGGGAGGCCACAGCCCCCTGCCCAGACGCAAGCTGAAGAGCCATGCCAGGGCCCTGGCGGTAGTGGGCGCCCCTGTGGGCGGGCCCTGGGGTGGAGGGCCAGGTGGCACCTGGGCCTGTCCCCAGCCCAAGTCACATGAGACCGCAGCCCACCCCAGAGGGTCTCACGTCCCAGTCCCGTCACTGCCCACCCTGCACACAGCACGTCAGAACCTCGCCTGCCCCTTCCTGCCAGCCGCAGCCCCCAGAGGGAGGGTCACAGGGCAGCAGGCCTCGGCAGGGATGGGGCGGGTGGAGGGTGCCTGTCCCCTGCTGTACTGGGAGCCCTGGGGCTTGCCCTGGGGTTTCCCTGGACACTTCGCCCTCTTCCAGGTCAACTACTGCACGATGCTCCTGTCCTCCGTGGCTGACACGCTGGCGCAGGGCAGCGTCCCCTGGAGTAAGCCCGTCTGGGGAGTGTGGGGTGAGGGTGGCACAGGCGACACACCCCATGGGCAGCTGATCGTGCCTCACGCCCTGTGCCCTCCCCTCTCTGACGGCCTTGGCTGGTCCTGTCCGAGGGCAGTGCAGGTGCTCTCTGATGGAGCCCGGGCCTCGGCCAGGGCACAGGGGCCTGGTTCACCCAGACTCCAGAGGCTCCGCCTGCGCTGGCCCTTCGGGGCCACCCCCTCAGCAGGCAGGACCCCCGTGGCCCTAGCAAGGCACAGCCCTAGCCCCAGGGCTCAGAGGAGGACTGGCATGCTCTAGGCTGCCCAGCTGTCCCCACTCTGAGGGCCACCATGCCCTGGCCCTCGTCTCTGAGCGGCCTTCCTTCTTACCAGGCTCTCGGAACTGTGGCAACGGGAGCCGGCAGGCCGCTGCTGACCACAGAGGGGACCCTGGCGGCAGGGAGCACCCGCAGCCTGGCCAGCCACCCTCGGACACCTGAGCTGCTTGGCCTGTTGCGTGCTGGGCCCGCTTCTCCTCGGCTCGTCATCCTGGGCCTTGCGGACACGCTGACCTTCGCCCACCTCCTGTGGAGCCAAGTGGGCAGCGGCCCTCACGGCTCCACCAGAGGCCAGCCCTGCCCCCACAAAAAGGAACCTCTCCTTGTCCAGCCTGACACCTTCCCAGGAACCCCCGGGAAGCACAGCAGTGTCCTGGAACAGCCTCCCTGCCAGCAGGAAACGTGCCCCCAGCCCCCACCCCAGCACCGGCCAGTGAGACGGGCACCTCTGCACAGGCCAGGAGCTGTCTGGGGCCACCCCCACCCCCACTCGTGTTACCTGATAAGAAACAAATCTTGTTTTGAAACGCTAGTGATTGAATTTCTGCCCTTTAAGACCCATCCTCTGGCTCTCGGCGGACTGGCTCTGGAGGCTGTCTGCACCTGCCATGCCCGCCCCTTCCCCATAGCTGGCATAGCGAGTGCTGGTGTGTCCACCCTGGGCGACAGCCCAGGACAGCCCTGCCAGGTGCTGCCTCGTTTCCAATGGGGCCTATAGGAAACTGCACCGCACCTGGCCCAGGTCAAACCAGACCCCGGGCGGCTGAGGTGTAGGTCACCGAGCACCAGCAAACACTCAGGACCAGGGACTTGCCTACCAGGCCCCTCCCTGGCCATCTGCTCATACCCAGGCTCTCCTGGCCAGACTTGACCTCTGGCCCCCACCCTGTGGTTGGCACCAGGCTGGGGGCAGATTCTGCACCCACCCAGACCCACTAAGGACACTGGCTAGACACCCATGGTCGTGAGCTGCTACCCCTGGAGGAAACAGGCCTGTCTATCTCTTGCTGTCCCATCAGTCCCCGCAAGAAATCTGGGGAACAGAGATGTTAGCCAACACCGGCAAAGCAGCCCATCCCTGGGTTGGAGGATCACCTGGAGGAACAGCGATTGGGCAAGGTGGGGGAAAGCAGGCCCCCAGCTGCCGAGGGCTGGACCAGCAGACACGAAACCCGAGAAAGACCTAAAACCTTTATTGTACCCCCGGGGACAGCAAGGGCTCCCAGTGTCCCCAGCCCACACCCCCATGGGCCCCAGCAAGTCTCTGCTCCAGTGGAGATGGGTTCCCAGAGCCCCAGCCAGGGGTACTGCCCCCAGCTTCCTCCCCAAGGGGATGGTCCTTCCACGCCAGCTGGCAGTGGCCTGGGGGCCCTCTGATGCCAGCCCTGCAAGCAGCCTGGCGGGGAGGGCAGGACAACCGCAGCAGCCAGCATCTGCGCTCTCAGACCTCAGCACTTGGGCCCTCGGGGCTGCACCCCTTGCTCCGGAAATGGTCTCTACTCCGCTTCTTGCTGCCATGGAAACCAACAGTCTCCACCAGTGGGGGGCCTGGCGCGGACCCACTGTGGACAGCCCCTGACAGAGGGCCCACTTCCTGCAGGCCCCCAAGGGGGCTGGTCCACTCCTCAGCCTCAGGGCTCCCGGGCCTGGCCAGGTGTGCCAGCTCCACAGGGCCCTCCCCACCAGCAACGCTGCGGCCCCTGCCCGGCTCTCCGCCCTTCCTCAGGACCCTCTTCCTCTCGGGTCTGGCCTCGCCACCTCGGGCCGGTTTGGTGAAGACGACTCTCCCCTCCCCGCAGCTGGAGGGGTCCTGGTTGAAGGAGGGCACGAAGTGAGTGGGGACGGTGAGGCTCCGGGAGCCCAGGAACGCCAGGGCAGCCGCCTGATTGTCCTGCTCGCTGGCCTCAGCCACGTCCCCCAGGCTGTACCTGGTCCAGCGCTCAGGGTGTGCCACGTAATCGGGGACAGGGGGCACCTTCGAGGGGGCAGGGCTCCGAGGGGCCCTGCCCAGACCTTCCACGGAAGGCTGGCTTGGGGGTGCCAGGGGCTGCGGGAAGCTCCTGTTGTCGCTCACGCTGGCGTGGGCCACAGAGGCTGGAGCCCGCCTGGCTGCCCCCTCCAGGCAGTCAAAGATGTCGTGGCTCCGCTGGGAGAAAGTGGAGCTCATGCCTCGCAGATGGAACGGCTGCACCGTGGCCACGGGAGGCAAGGAGGGCTCGTCGGGGCCTGAATCCTCCTGGGCCTCCCCAGGCAGCCCCCCTGGGGACAGCGCCTCCCCCTCAGCACTACCGGGCAAGCTGAGGTCAGAGTCCGAGTCACTGAGGGAGGCCGCGTCAGAAGGCAGGGTGTCGTACGCTGTCCCTTGCTTGCCCTCCGAGCCAGGGGATGGCTCTCCTGTCCCTGCCTCAGCCATGTGTGCCCAGGGCCACGCCACACCTAGAACGAAACAGAAGTCTGTTTCTGAGGAGAGTTCCTCCTGCAGATCCACCACCCTGAGAAAGGGCAGGCGGATCAGCAGAAAGAACCGTGTCCTGCAAAAGGTTGGGGCCCCATCCTCACCTTCGCAAAGCCCTCCTCTCACTTCCCCATCTGCCGGGTGGGTGCCTGTGGGGGACGCTGGAGTCCTGGCTGGACAGCGGGGTGGGCGGAGCCCTGACGAAGGTCCTCAGCGGCAAAGGCGTGGTTGTCTGGGTCCCAGGAGTTCCCCACGCAGGGCTCTGCTGGGCTGTTCAACTGTAGCTGGGTGACGGCTGGGGGGAGGGGGAGAACCAGCCATCAGACCAGAGCATGAACATGTGAAAGAGGCACCAGGACCCAAGTGACCCAAGCATGGGTTTATGGAGCCCCCAACACAGGCTACAAACAAGGGCAGTGACTTTTGACTTGTTACCTCATTTACCACGACAATCCTCCCAGGTAGGCTCCGAGCGATTAAACGGCAGCCAGAGCCCGCACCCAGGGCCCAGAACCGTCTCCGTGCTACTCTACCGTCACTTACAAGCTGCTCACTAGGCACGGTGTGCAGAGTGCTCCACAGAGACCCGCCCCTCCTGGTCCGTGGTGGGGAGGTGGGCTCCTGTTTGCGGGGAGACCCCTGGGAGCTCCAGAGATCCGCAGCCAAGTCCTTGGCATCTGAGGGTCAAGCTCTCATGCAGGTGGGCTGCCCACGGTCACCTGGAGCGGCCCTGCCGGGCAGAGGCAAGCCCCCACAGCTCCTGGGGCACAGTCCTTTTTCCTGTGACACTCAACACACCCCTGGCCTTTTCCGGCCGTGAAGAGGAGCGCTGCCGCGGGCCCCCACCGAGTGTCGAGTGACACCGGTGCCCCGAGCTTGCTTCCAGGATCCCAGGACGGCCGGGCCGCTGTCCTCAGCCACCGGTCCCCCAGCTCCGCCCCTCCGGGCTTCCCTGCCAGGTGAGCCACGAGCAAGGATGCGGCCGGCACCCTGCGCCCCACTAGGTCGGACACCGGCAAGATCTCAATTCCTGCCGGCGCGACTCAGCCAAGGGCCGCCGCACGCTCCCGCTGTGAGCCGGCGCGGGCAACCGCTCAGGTCACGCCACCGCCAGGCCGCGCTCGGACGGCTTCGGGGGCGCAGGTCCGGCCGCGCTGGGAGGCGGGGCCGAGTCTTCCTCCCGCCGGAGCCAGCGGGCCGGGGCCGGGACCGGGACGGGTGACCTCCCGGGGCCCGCGGCACCGCCCACCCCCACGCACCTGCCGCCACAGCACGTTCGGCACTGCCCCCTCCCGCGCGAGGAGCCGTACGTCCCACGGGCCACGGCGCATGCGCGCGGCCCGCCCCGGAAGCGGCGGCGCCCTCAGAGCGCGGGCAGGAAGAGGCGGGGCGGGGCTGCGGCTCCCGCGCGACTAACGGGCAGCGGCGCCGTCCCGGGGCCCCAGCGCCGCCTGCCGGAAGCCGCGAAAACTGCGGCCGCCGCAGGCAGGAAGTGCGTCATCGCGCACGGAGGGCAGGAGGCCTTTCCCGGGCATTTCCGGTTATGGCCGGAAGCGGCTGCCGTCGTCGCAGTGTGTCCCCTCAGTGCCCGGAAACAGGGTGGCCGGAGACCCCTCAGGGGCGACGCAGCCCGTCGTTGCCCGCAGTCCCCCGGCACCCGTGGTCCCACGTAGGCCAGAGGCCGAGCCGACCCCAGCCCGAGACAAGGACGCGGAGTGCGCGGGGCGGCCCCCTTGTCCGCCAGCCGGGCCTACGCTTCTCCCCGAGGGACTTGCCGGGCCCTGACCGCTCTGCCTTTTTCCTCCCGGGGCGTTGCCCTCGGAGACATTGCCCGTCCAGCTGCTCACTCCTGGGCCCTCAGCTCAGAGGCCCTGCTCTGGGCTTCGGGAGGTACAGATGACGTTCCCCCGAGGTCACTACAGGGAAGCCAGGGCCAGGCTCTGCTCTGACACTGTCCAGATCACTGGTCCACCCAGGACCCCCGGCGGCCTGGCCCAGAGAGGCATGGGGAGTGCCGGGCAGGGCGGAGAGGCCACCAGCCAGCCGCGGCGGGGGAGGACAGTGAGGACTCCTCAACCTCCCGAGTCAGCCAGGGCTGGGTGGGCGGCAGCCACGGAGGACGAGGTCCCAGGTTCTCCCTTGGCCACGAGGCCCTAGGTGGGCAGCATCTTTTTCCTGCTCTGTTGGGGGTAGTTCATGCCCCACAAACTCAAGGCACCCGAGTTCCCCTTGGCTGCTAGACCCGTCATCACTGTGAGGACCAAAGAGAGAACTCTCCCACCCCCAGGCCCTGCTGTCCTGGCATCCACCAGGAAACGAGGATTCAAGGAGTGGTTCTTGCCCAGACTAGAGATATAAAGAGGGGAAGGAGGGACCCCACTCAGCTGTGCACCTGGGGAATACTTTATTCCTAAGACTGCTTCTCCCTCCCCACGGCCCCAACCAGGAATACACAGTCCAGTGGACGCTAAGTGCTTAAGCCTTTAAAGTCACATTGCAGCTTGCAGGTGGCTATGTGGAAGATCAGGCAACAGCCTTGGCCAGGGTGTCCCTGGGGCCTTGCAACACAGGTCAAAGTAGGGCGGAGGGGACTCTTTGGACCATCCTGTTCTCCCAACCAACCCAGGCATGGGAGGAGGTAGGGAGCACCAGGGGAGGGCCTGCAGAGACCCTGTAGCCCCCCAGTGCAGGGCTGGGGTTAGTTTCCAAACTCTGCCTGCAAGGAGGCTGGCTGGGAGCCCTTAACATGAATCCCAGGCCTTCATTTCCTCTAGGGGTCATAAAACCTGCTAGCACCCCCTGGTTAGGGGCAACAGCTGAGCCAGAGCGAGCTCCACCCCAGGGGGCAGCAGACAGGACAGTCCAGAGCCCAGTGGCTGTAAGTGCTCAGGGAAAAGGAAGGGGTGAGCGTAGGAGGCTGCTTAGCCTTAGAGCCTTGGTCTGGCTTGGTGGGCTGGGTGGGTTCCCCAGGTGGCTGAGATCTTCCCCTCCAACTTCTCTGAGAGGCAGCTTAGGCCCTGAGCCACCCAGGACCTCAGTGGCATGTTTACAGGCATCTAGAGACAGGCAGGGAAGGGACCCTCAAATGTCCAGGAGGGGCAGTGTGTCCATCTGTTACTGTGCTGTGCCTCAGGAGGAAGGGGAGTCTCGCAGCTTCCCCTCGCCTCCTATTCCAAGCCCACCCTGTCCTGCATCCTCTGGCTGCCTGGCCTCTCCTGCTCACCTCTGGGCAGTGTGTGCCCAAGGACTGAAGTGGGAGGGAGGTGGAAGCTTCTGCAGGCAACACGGGGCCCCAAAAGGGGCATGAACCACATGGGATCCCCCCACGCCCAGCTGGCAGCCCCCCTCAGGATGGCTTACCCTGGACCTGGCACAGTCCACAGAGGCAAGTCCCACCCACAACGGGCTCCTGTGCCCCTCCAGCTGCCCGCTGGGTCTCAGATGGTGGCACAGGAAGGGGCTGGACAGTCCTGTTAGCATGCCTGATTTTTCCTTCTTTATTAAATGACTGTTTCAAGATGTAATTACAGTTGAAAGTCACATGTTAGAAAGGATAGGTGCATTGAAGGCATAAGAGTGCTCATAGACCCGGCTCTCGAACTGGGGCAGGAGAGAACAAGGAATAAAAAGGCATGAGCCGTGCAGCCCACAGGATGGACGGGCAGGGTGGGTGGACACAGCCCGAGCTCCACCAAGCTGAGCCTCTGGGCTAGTGGCCCCGGGAGAGGCCTGGCTGAGCAGGCAGAGCTCCCCAAAGGGTCCCAGAAGCACAGGGACTCCTGCCCTGCAGTCCCCAAGGCCTGGGCCCGTCTCCACTCACACACACGCCACCTACATGTGACGTCAGCCCTGGAAAGGTAATAGGAAAGTTCAGAACAAAAACAAAACCTCAAATGTAAAAAGGCTACGTGTAGCAGAGTAATACCGGAAAGTTATATACACAGGTGGTGACGGCCCCTCAGAAGTGTCCGGGTCACTCGGGGGGCACTGCAGGGTCCCCCGCAACTGAAGCTACAGGGGCCTCAGTACACGGAGCTGTTCCGGATGCCGCAGCACAGCACCATGCTCAGGATCATCTCGAAGATCTGCGGGAAGGTGGCGGCGGGCACAGTCAGCACCAGGCCCCGTGGGCGGGGCAGCCCCACGGAGCCCAGGCCCCACCTGCCCTGCCCTCGGCTCACCATGATCACGGCGACCACGATGGCCGCGATGCCGATGAGGTACAGCTTCCCGGAGAAGAGCTCGTCGATCTTCTGGTGGCAGTCCTCCTGCAGGGGTGGCCATCAGGCGGTCAGGGGCCGAGCCTCAGCTCCCGGCCCCCTCTGGTCACGCGGCAATCCGTGGTCGTCGCACAAGGAGCGCGGAGGGGACCCGCGGCCACAACAACCTGCCCACCTCAGAAGAGGCGGGCGCGGCAGCCGGGCCTCTGCCAGGTTTTTATCTTTTACGCATTTTAAACAACACAAAACACCCGGCACACGCTGCCTGTGCCCTTTTCCACTTAGAGGTCACGATCACTAGCGTCTCCAGTGCCCTGAAGTGCCACTGGTGTGCGCTGCCCAGACGATGTGCACGGAGGCCTTGGTGGGCGATTTCCGCAGGGTACTGTGGCCTCCAGGGCGCTAACCCGGGTGGTCGGGGGCCTCCGCGCCCACTGGTGCACAAGTCACTGTGCGACCTGGGAGCACTCCCCTGCCAGCCCCAATTCTTCATCTGAACGTGCGGCACAGGGCGCCCGCCTCCTCCTGGGCCGGACTGGGCCTCCCCGCGGCCCTCCAGGCAAAGCCCGGACGCAGGTCACTGCCTAGCGCGGCTGCTTCCCTGCCAGGGCCCGCCCGCCGCCCAGGGCCCACCCCAGGGAGGCCTTGCGCGCACCTTAAACAAGTTGCCGATGACGTTGTTGCCCGAGGGACACAAGTTGTTCTTCAGCACCGAGGTGGTCAGCTTGGACAGCGTGCTGGAGCCGCAGCAGTCGAGCTGCAGGGACCGAGGGCGCCGCCGTCAGCCGTGGGCACGCGCAGGGGACAGCAGCCCAGAGCTCCGGGGGACCCGAGGGGAGACAGCCAGGGAGACGCATCGCACCCCACGGCAAGCGCGTCTGGGCCAGCCCTCTGCCGGGCTCGGGCCCCTGCGTACTCGGCCAGCCTGGCCCACGGGGCTCCCACCCAGGGACCAGCGGGGCCCCGAGTGCCCGGAGTCCACGGGCACCGCCTGCTCCAGGTCCGGGCTGAGGCAGGACTCGCCCCGGGAGGGGAACACCCCCGCCCTGTGCCCTGCCCACCCCTGCCCGGCCGCACCGTCTCGTGGAAGGTCTTCACTACGGCCTTGGCGTTGTTGGCGTCATCGTCCACCACGGCCTGCTGCAGGGCCTGGTCGTAGAACTGCTTCACGTCCTTGGCGATCTGGGGGTGGGGGGAGCACGGTCGCATGCTGGGTAGACGTGCCCTTCCCCGGGAAGGTACACCTCCAGGACAAACCCCGGAGGGCTGCGAGGTGGCCCTCATGCCCCTCCTGCCCGAAGCCCGAGACCTTCCTGCCAGGTGAGCCCAGGAAGAGCTCAGAGAGCACCCCACAAACCATGGGTGAGACCAACCCATCCCCTGCAACATGAGGGGGCCCTCCCTCCCCTCCGGGCCCGTGGTGGGCCCAGGCTCACCTGGTCCTTGTTGACAAAGCCCCAGATGCCGGCGGCCACCTCACAGGCAAAGAGGATCACCAGGCAGGTGAAGAACTGGGGGCCACACGGGTAGAGCACAGAGGGTGGGGTCGGGGGGTGGAGAACAGGGTCAGGCTGCGGCAGGCCCTGGCCAGGGTGGGCAGCTTGGGGCTGGCCTCCCCACCCTTTCTCCTGCTCCCCATGGGGGTGCCTCAGTTTCTCCCACTGGTGACATTGGCACAGGCTCCCCCTTCCTAGACTGGCCAGGCCCTGGGTGGCAGGGCCAGGCCTGAGCTCCCATCAGCGGGTGGCATGCCCAGGACACCCAAGGCCGGCTTGGAGCTGAGATGCTCCCTGTTACGTTCATGGCTTTCTTCAAAAAAGAAAGAGAAAAGGCCAGTTTGGAACAACATGAGGGAGATCAACCACAGTGGGAGTTAATTTACAAACCGAAGGGGAAAACCAGGAGTTGGACTCGTAGGAAGGTGCCGAGGCCACTCCGTGGGCCCTGGTCCAGGCCGGCCCGACGGGAGGCGCCCAGCTCCACGTCCCTGCCCGATGGGGGGAACCCGGCAGCCTCCCCCGGAACTCCTGGTCCTGCCCCTCACGCTGGCTCTGCCGCCCGCCCCTCCTCGGCGCTGGACGCGGCTCCCGCCGGCCCCGCCTTACCGTCCCCAGCAGGCACTGGGACTCCTGGATGGCCCCGTAGCAGCCCAGGAAGCCGACAAACATCATCACAGCGCCCACGGCGATGAGGATGTAGATGCCTTTGGGGGAGAGGGGGCGCCGGTGAGCCGCGGCCCAGACCTCCCCCAGCTGACGCCGCCACTGACTCCGGAGGCTCTGAGGCGCCGACGCCCGCGTGGGCGAGATACACGGCGACGCTGTGGAGCAAGGGGCCCCGCAGCCCAGCCTGGCTCGGGCTGGCACGTGCACGCCACTCTGCCTCAGTTTCCTCTTCTACGACGGGAAGGACAGCATCGACACCAAAGTGGGAAGTGAACGGCACCACGGGAGCACTCGGGGAACGCCGCTATTGGCGCTTTACACAGACCGTGTCCCACGCCGTGTCCCGCCGCACACGACCCGCATCCGCTCCCAGAAGCCTCCGGGTGTGGGGGGCTGAGACCCGCCACCCGGCTCAGCGTGGGGGCTGATGCATCAGAAGCTGCGTGGCCAGCCCAGCTGCTGGCCCGGGGGTGAGGGGCGGCCCTGGCTCTGGATGGACGCCCACCCCCAGCGCAGGCGTGTGCAGGGGAGCTGGGGCCTTGCTGGCCTCCCCGTCCCCCCGCATGGCCGCCCCTTCAGTCGCGCCAGGTCCTGGGGAAGCGGCGTCTGAACTGGCTGCTCTGTATGACTGGGGGTCAGATGGGCTCCTGAGGCCCCCGCCCCCGAGTGCCGAGCCCTGCTGGAGGGGTGGCAGCCAGGGCAGCCTGCCTGACTGCCCCACACCGAGGGGCTGGGCAGGACGTCCCTGGGGAGGCAGAAAGGGCCACCCAAGGGCGGGTGCACGCAGGCCCAGCGCAGTGCCACGGCTGCCCTCGGGAAACCCTGGCAGTGTCTGTCCTGGGCCCATCCACGCCCCGGTCCCTCAGCAAGCTGGGCGCCTCCCCCAGCTGCCACGGCAACGCTGAAGGCAGCGGAGCCTCCTCCGCACCGCCAGGCTGCTTGTCCCCTGCCTGGTCAGCCTCGGGGAGAAGGCGCCTGGGGCCAGGGCCATTTGCCAGCTCAGAGCACGCCCAGATCTGGGGCTCGGCCTCCCACTGGCTGTGAGCACGGTGTCCTGGGCAGGGTCTGCCTCTCCTCAGGCCCTGACACCCCCATCCCCGAGGTGCAGCGGGGCCCCCTGGACTCCCTTCCCTGTGGCCCTAGGTCAGCGCCAGCAGGGTGGGGGAGCCCAGCAGCCCCTCTAGGCCCCAACCCCAGGCTCCCGACTAAAGCCCACCGCCTGCCCTGCCGAGCCCGCAGCATTTCAGGGGCGGGGGTCTGAGGGAGCCCAGCAAACCCGCCCCCTCCTGACCCTGGACAAAGAGCCTTTGTGGAGGCCGCATCTGCTCTCGCCAGCCTACACTGGGACGGCCAGCAGCTCCGCGAGGCCGACTCCGGGATGGGCAGGAACTTGGTGGCCAGAGGGGGTCGGAGCAGCCCCCACCCGCTGGGGACATGGCAGAGCCCACGCCTGGCGGTAGCAGCCCTGCCGTCCAGTGACAACCCTGCCAGGTGGCTCCCCTGAGGGCAGTTTCCCTGGCACCAGGGAAGCCATAACCTAGGACAGGTGGGTGGGCGGCCCCGGGGCTAGAGGCCTGTTGTGGCCCATGGTGGGTGCCACACGGTCACACACCTGCTTCCAGCACCAGCCCTGCCCTGGTGCACGGGAGCCAGCCGGCGAGCCCCTCTCCCGCAGCACCGCTGCCCTGCTGGGGCCTGGCGCAGCCGTGTCCCCTGCCCTCGCCCCAAGCGGCCCCCGCCTGAAGCTAGGTGACCCTGCAGCTCCTCTCTGGCCACACCAGGCCAGGCACTGACCTGTGAGCAGAAGCCAGCCATGAGGTTCAGCCACTGCAGGACAAGGAGAACGACCCCTTCCAAAAACGCCTGCCCCAGGGCTGCCTAACTCCACCACTGTCAAAGCCGCACCCATGGAGCCCAGGTCCTGGGGAGAGGACTCTTGGGAGCTTGGTGGGCAGAGGCTGCCGCTGCCCCCCGGACAGGAGGGCGAGGAACATGCCACGGAAACTGCCTCAGCACCTCTGGTGGCCCTGGAGAACAAGGCCCAGGCTTGCTGAGAGGGCACCCCCAATTTGGACCAAGCACCCCAATTATCTGAGGAGGAGGGGCCTCCCAGGGGAGAAACAGCCCTCAAGGGTTCAGAGGATACTGGCCGGGCCCTCTGACACCCACGTCCTCCGACACGTGGGCAAAGCTTCTAAGGACACCCAGCCCCCGTGCGCAGGGGGCAAGGGTCTCCATGTGCGCCCTGGGGTGGGCAGGCTTCCCTTCCTCCTCCCGACACGCAAACCTGCGAGGGCACCCCTGCCCCGAGAGACGGTCACGGGACCGTCCCCAGGATGAACTGGGCCCAGGACCCACTGCCAGCCGCAGGCTCCGGTCTCTAGGGAGGACAAGGCCAGATTGGTGGGCCTAAAGGGTAGGGGAGGGGGAAGTGGGCAGCCATGTGACCACGGTGTCTGGGAGGGGCACTGAGCGGCCTCCTGGGGCCCTGGTCAGCAGCCAGGCCAAGCAGGACTCCACCAGGCCTGGGATACACATGCTGCCCGCCCTGCCGCCCACCCCTCAGCCTGTGGGGACAGTGGGACATCCCAGAGGCCCCTCCTTTAAAGGACAGAAACATCTCAACAAAGACTCCCAGAGAGCTGCCAGGGCCAGGCCCTGCCTTCCCTGCCAGGGGCATCGGGAGGAGGGGTGCTGCTCTGCCCGGGACAGTCCTCCTCCTCCTCCTCCGCCACCCCTGCTCCTGGGGCGGGACAGGCAGCCCAGGCCCCCCACTCTCAGCCTAATAAGGCAGCAAGGTGCGGCCGCCTGCCGGGCGGCTGAGTCACGCCAGCCTCCCCAGCCTCGGCCTCCATCCCTCCCTGCTCCAGGCTCCAGCTGCCTCAGCTGCTCTGGGGCAGCCCAGGCCCCCAGCCCCACCCCTCCCCAGGGAGCCTCCCCCGAAATACCACAGGTTAAAATAAGCAAGGTCTTGACACAGCTCCCCCCGCCTTGCCAGCTGCGCCCTCCTGCCCTGGCTCAGCCCAGAGGTGTCTGGTGGGGTCCCGACATAGCACAGGCCCGAGTCCCGCTCACCCCTCCCGCCCAAAGAGCCCTTTCTGGCCGGCTGCCTCCCTGCCCAGCATGTGCCACACCCCACTGCCTCTGTCATTCCTTGTTCCACCCGCTGCCTCCTCCTGGAAGCCCTCCCTGATCGCGTGTCACCTGTTGGGGGCGCCCTGAGCTCACGATCAGTCCCTGCCCCAGGTGAACACTCACCTACGTAGAAGGTGTTGGGCGCCGGCCTGTCTCCCAGCTCCAGGTAGAGGAGGTTGGTGGTCTGCGGGTCATGGCGGAGCCACAGGGCCACGCCCAGGATCACACCTCCGGCCAGCTGGGAAAAGAGCAGGAACCGAGTTGCGTGCAGCCCGGAGCACTGTGGCGAGTGTGACCGCGCCGTGCCACCGTCCTGAGTGGCGCCCCTACTCGGCGGAACTGCCTGCTGGCTGCAGAGGGGCAGGCGTCGGCCCTGCTGTCTGGGGTCCAAGAAGCCCCAGGGAGCCCTGGGGATGAGGCGCCATCCACTTGGAACCCAGCCCCCCACCAGCACCTCTGAGTGCGGCTCCAGGGCAGGGTGGCCGGACAAGGGCCGGCTCACCAGTCAGATCTGTGTCTCAGACAGACGACCAGATGCTTCCTTAGCGTGAGTGTGTCCCAGATACGGGAGGAAATATCCTTAAAACACCGAATTATAAACGGAACTCCTGTATTTTTATTTGCTAGATCTGGCCAGAGGCCACACCCACCAGACCTGAGCACCCCAGGGAACACCGGGCCCTCCCCCAGGGGGTGGTTCCGCCCCAACAGTCCTGGGCTTATTTGGGGACTGTCCTGGGGACACTGAGAACCCCGGGGTGGTGGAGGCCCGAGCCTCTGCTGCCAGGACAGGGGTGGGGACGTGGTGCCGCTGGCCCCTGTGGGTGGTGGCAGCCGAGGCCTGCGCTGGGAAGAGACGCTCTAGCAAGGAAGTGGCGCTGTGGCCTTCACGACAGGTGCGAAGAAGGGGCGTAGAGAGCCTGGCACGCGGGGCCCTGCGCACACACGCCCAGCTTTGCCAGGTGGGGTCTGCTGTGAGGATCGGCCATCCTGGGCATCAGACCAGGCCGGGCTCGGCCCCTCCCTCCCGGGGGGCACGGCCTCATCCTCCAATGCCCCGGACTAGCACACGCAGGGCACCTCTCAGACACGTGGCCCCCGTGCATGACCAGGGACCCCGAGTCCTGCCTGCCCCATCCTTCCCCACCCCAGGTGCCCCTCGGCCGCTGCCCACAGACGCTCCTCCCTGGTCAGGTGGGGGGCCTTCAGATCCTTTCTGGGGTTTCTTCCCGCCCCAGGTGTAGAGCTCTGCCCCACACTCCTCCTGCAGCCTGGGGACACTGAGTTCCAAGGACAAGGACAGCCGGTCAGTTCCAGGTCCCCAGGCGGTATGGAGGACCAGGCTTTACCCCGTCTCCCAGGAGAACATCATGAGAATCACCTAAACCTGGTCCTGGCTGGGGCCACCAGGGAAGGGTGCGCAGAGGTGCGGGCACAGGAGGTGAGCACACAGGAGTCTCGGGTCCCACAGCAGGAGACCACTGCCCGCACCCATGACAGGCTCTGCCTTCCCCCTCTGTGCCACCCGCACCCAGGGCCAGGCCTGCGGGGTTTCCTGGAGGAGGAAGCATGGGGATCTGGAACCAAACCAGCCAGGTGAGAGGCGCCAGCTCGTGAGCTCCGGGGGCAGTGGGGGTACACGATCCCCCACCGGCCAGAGGCGGCGGCTGCTCCCACGGCCTGCGTGGGAACGCCTGGCTCTGCAGCCAGCCGGGCGCCAGGCAGGTCCTATCCCCTGTATAGGCAGGGCCAGCCCCTGAGGCTTCGTCACGCCAGCACTGGCTGCTTCTGGACGCTGAGCCCACAACAGACCAGGGGCCACTGGTCAGATGCAGAAGGGAAACTGAGACCTGGGCCAGAGAACACCACCTGGCAGCCCCGCTCCCGCCCCAGGGGCCCGGCGGGGGAGGGGTGTGCTCAGCAGAGCAGTGTGAAGTTCAGGCCCCAGCAGCGCAGCCAACCCCCAAGGAAAGCCCAGAAGGGCCCTGGGGACTCCCTGCGCAGGCTGGCCCCAGCGAGAGCGCGTGGAGGAGGAGGTGTGGGCTCCGCACCCCTGCCCACCCCCTCCGACTCCTGCCCCCCACACCCCCACCCCGGGCCTTCGGAATGGGGCCTGGCCTAACGCAAGGCCAGTGAGGTCTGCTGGCGCCAGCAGCTGCGGGTGGCACCCTCAAAGGGACTGTGGGTGGCACCCCTGCAGGACCACCAGGCCACCCTCTCTGGGCACCCCTGTCGCAGGGGCCCACACTGTGGTTTCTCAGCCCCTTCCTGGTAGGCCGCACCCCTGCTCCTAGGGGAGTTTCAACTCAGTTTTCAAACTTTGGTTGGGGGAGGGAAGGGCCCCGCTCTTCCCCGCTGGGCCGTGGAGTGCGCGTGACAGCCGTCGGGGCCCATGGCGGAAACGACCTGGCAGCTGGGACTCCTAGTGTGCCCCTCACATGACAAGGCCTTGGGGTCCTGGCAGGGCAGACAGCTCGGGGCTCCTCTGTGCCTATCGCTCCCATGGGGGTGGAGGGCGGCCGGCGGTGGCCCCAGAGCGGGAGGAGGAGGTGGCAGGCTGAGAGTTGCTGTGGTAACCCTGGCTTCCTCCAGCGGCTCTGAAAACATCGCTTATTTTGTTTTGAATCTGTGTTCCAGAGATCGTTGTGTGAGACGTTCCAGGTCGGAGGGGGGCAGGTGGATGGGGGAGCCCTGGCCCCATTCCGCCCTCTGTGGTCGCAGAGACCTGGTTACGGCTGTGACTCAGCTGCGGAAGCTGTGGGGCCGCTGCCAGGCCGCCATCCTCCTGTGCCTCAGTGTCCCCACCGCAAAGCAGGGCTGAGCTCGAAAGCCACTCCATGGGTGCCAATCCCAGCCCCTGCCCTCCCTGGCTGCGCAGGGCCCACCCTGTCTTCCTGGGCAGCCGCCCTGGCCCCGAGGTGCTGAGTGCCCATGTAATGGGCACGGGGTCCCAGCCCAAACGTGTGCACGAGCCACTAACCCAACCTGCCGCCCGTGGACTTCGGGCCACGTCGCCAGGTCTTGCTCTGCTGCGGGAAGGGGCTTTCCACTCAAACGCCGGGGCTGGGGGGAGGCTGCCCCCGGGCCCTCCCTGTGGAGGCTGACAAAGACGCCGCCCAGCTGCAGGGCAGGGAAGCCCACCCGAGGGGCCGTCAGTGAGGAGGAGCCTCCAGGCCAAGGGGGGCGGGGGCAGCTGGAGAGGGGGGCTCACGGGGGGGCCTAGGCCGCTGTGGGGGTGGAAGTGTCCCTAGGCCCCACGTTCACTCTGCTGATGGCGGTGATGGTTTCTCTGGGGACAAATATGTCAAAACTTACTGAGCTGTACACTTTAAATATGTGCATTTACTCTGTGTCAATCACACAGTGTGGTGAAGTGCGATTAAATAAAGCTGTCTGAACAACCCCCGCACCCCCAAACCCTGACGACCGGACTCCTCAGGGCCAGCGTTTGCTCCGGGCCCCAGATGGCCCAGGCTGCCATCGGGCTCTGCCAGGCGGAGCTGGCGCTCCGGGCTCTCTGCAGCCAGCAAGTGCCGTCAGACACGCTGAAGTCCAGTTCCCGGAACTGCGGTTCGAGGAAAGCAAAGCAAGGAACCGGGGTAACTATGGGACACGCGTGTCAACTACAGGCGGGAGCCCAGCGCTAGTGGAAACAGGGAGTGACGGGGTTGGCTGAAGGCCCGGAGCACGGACGAGAAGCGTGGCCCGAGGGCCTGCGGCTGGTCCCGTGACCTGGGTGGCCTCAGGCCCACTGCAGCCTCTCTGTGCCTCCGGAACCCTCGCGTGTACACGGGGAAACAGAGACACAGAGGCCGATACCCAGAGTGCCCAGCGCGACCCGGCAGCGTGGAGCTCTCGACGGCGCTGACGACTGTCATCACGGTTGGGTTTCATAAACGAAAGTCCCTCTCCCCACAGACACGTCCCTGCCAACAGCCCACCCGTCAGAAGTGGCACCGCCACTGCCCCTGCCTCCCGAGACACCCCACGCGGCGTGGGGGCCGGGCGGTTCTCACGCTGGGGTTCCCAGAGGGCCCGCGCAAGGGTGCAGGCACAGAAAGGAGTGTGCGTAACTCCGCAAGGATTCTGTTTCTGTTTCTGTTTGCTTCTTCCTCCCTCCTGAGAATTAATAAATAACAGAGCAGCTCTGGCCAGCGGCTGCCAAGCACGCAGGGTTCCTGCCCAGCCTGTCTGCACATTCCAAAAGCCGCCATGAGGGAGCAGAGGGAGCGGGCGCTGCCCGGGCAGGCCTGGGACAGCCCCTCCTGTGCCAGCCGCCACTGTCCCCCCAGAGCCCGGACAGCCAGGTGCTGCGGGGCCAGGGGCACTGCCCTCCAGCACATATGCCCACGGCCTCAGCGAGGGACGGGGATCTGGTCGCCCCCACCAGCCAGGCCAAGTGGTCGCCCCGCGTCCTGCCCACACATCCGGGGGAACCAGGATGGCACGTGTAGGCTCGCCCCTGCCCCCAAGCAGCAGCTGAGTGCCCCCAAGTCTCTAGGCCAGACCCAGCCTCGATGCTCTTGGAGAGAGGGGCTGCCAGGCAGGGGGCGCACTGCGGGCCTGGGGGGCTGCAGGCCCTGCGCCTCCCCACTGCCACCTGGGGGGTGTGGGTTCGTGCTGGGAAATGCACAGAAAGTGCCCACTTGGCTCGGCCAGTGTGAGGTGCTGGGGGACTGGGGGCCCTTCCCTGGGAGGACAGGGAGGGCCGGACACGGGAAGGAGGGAGGAAGTCCCCTCAGGGACGCTGGGACAAGCCAGAGGGAAGAGTCCCGGCCAGGATGCTTTCAGGATGGGATGCTCCAGCACCGGGGGTGTAGGTACCGATGCTGTGGGGGAGGGGAGCTGGGTCCCTGCAGGCCAACCCCTCACTCCGCCCCCACCTTCCCCGGAAGCAGCAGCTGCCCTAGCGATGGGGCCCAGGCGGGAAGGAAGTGTGGAGGGAAGAGCAGGAATCCTCACCTCGGTGAGGAAGGGAAGCTCCACTCACACGGCCCCTGGCCTCAGGAAGCCGCCTGTCCCAGCATCTAAAAATAGGTGCCAGGCGAGGACGCTGGCCTTTCTGGGACCCGCTGGCCAGAGGACGTGAGAATCACTTCCCGCAGGGCCAGGAGGTGAGCACAGGCTTGGGGACACTCCGCTACCTCTCCGGGCTGGGGGTGGGCACAGGTACCCGAGCACCAGGCCCCTTCCAGGCCAGACCCCACACCTGCTCCCCCACCTGCACCTGCCCCTCCTCTGGGAAGCCCCCTGCCCCTGGGCCCTGCGAGGGGGCCCACGCGGACACAGACCTGCTGGGAAGGGCACAGTGCAGCTGTGGGGTGTGGCCGGCGCCCCCAGAGCCGTGTGCTTCAAAGGAAGAGGTCTGGGCAGGCCAGCACCCCCAGGGAAGGTGACAGGAGGTGGGTGTGTCTCAGGCAGGGACCAGTGAGCGGGTGGAAGAGTCCCAGGGAGCCCAGAGTGTCTCTGCCCGGCAGCAGCACCTGGGAGGCCGCCAGGCACTGCCTGGCCCAGGGCTGGTACCTACTCCCACCCGGGTGAGGACACCAGGACACTCCAGGCAGTGGCTCTGGTTTTCAGCCACCTCCTCCTGCTGTCACTTGGGAACCTCAGTTTCCTTATCACCCCAGTGACCCTGAGAACACCCCAGCACAGCTGGAGAGAGCAGGGTCGGCTCCCAGCCCAGTGCCCGCCTGGCACAGAGGAGTGCTGCTTCGGGGACAGAGGGCAGGACTGGGGGAGCAGGACGCTGTGAGGCGGTGAGCTCCCCCCTCACCCTGGGGGGGACGAGGGAGTCTGTGCCTCCCAAACCCCTGCCCCTCGGAAGCTCCTGGGCCCCCCTCCGGAGCTCCGGGCTCAGGCCCCAGCCCCCATGACTGGAGCCCAGGGAGGGCAGGCGGCCTGGGACCTGCACTGACAACCGCCCCGGCCCGGCCAGAGTGCCCCCAGCAGCCCCCAAGCTCGCTGTCAGCTGCGGCACAGAGCCGACCGCGGTGCCTAACCACAAGCAACGGCCCCAGGAAAGCCGTTACAGGGCACCCGGACTCGCCCCGGAGAAGTTAACGACCCAGGCCGATGTGGGCCCTGGGGGGCCACCCGTCACCTGCCCCCCCCCACGAGGCACAGTGACCCGAGCCTTCCTGCCTTCCACGCTCACCTCAGTACTCGGGGACAGACAGAAAGAGGGAGGCGTTCACTTTCCACGCTAGTAAAAGGCGCGCATCTGGCGGGGGGGGCGAGGCAGTCGGTGTGGGGGCGTGAGCCCCGGGCTCCCGGGCCTGCGCGGCGCTCAGACCCCCACGACCGGCCCTCTCGGCCCCCTGCTGGGGCACCCTCACCACCGGCTCGAAGCACTTACCAGGTCCGAGCCCCTCACCCAGCCCTTGCCAGATCTTGCCCCTGGGGGGCAGGTGCCAGGGCACCCGGAGTGAGGCCTGACAACCAGCTGTTGGCCCCCCCTTGCACAGGGAGCCGCCCCGCCTGGGGGCCTGCCCAGAGGACCCCCAAGTGGTCTCCTATGACTCAGCACCTGCCCTACAGCCCACTGGTGCAGAGGCTTCTTAGGTTAGGCCCAGAAGTACAGAGTGTTTGTGTGGGGGGCGCTGAGTAAGTACAGAGGCTTCTGGAAGCTGCCCAGCAGGCGGGTCCCACCCCATCTCACTGCACAGACGGAATGACTCAGAGGCGAAGGCCGCTGGGGGCCATTTCGGGGCAAGACTGGCTCTCTGTGCAGAAGAGGGGTCCCGGGATCAAGGTGGGCACCTCCAAGACTGGAAGCAGCCAGCACTGTGTGGGTCACAGGGGGTCAGGGCCAGAGCGAGGGGCCCCTGGGCCTCTCCCTAGCCCCACCCCTACCCAGGGTCCTTCCAGAACCCCGACCTGCTCCCTCCCTCGGGCGCCTGGGTCCAAGCCTCATTAGGTTGATGAACGGAGGCTCCCCTGACCGGATTTCAGGTGCTGAGACCGGGCATGGGGGGTGGGGTGTGTCCTTGTCTGGGCTGGGAGACAGTTACGAGGATGGGGTGGGCTCTATTCTGCAGGTAGAGCTGACCTGGGGCTGGGTGCGGGTGGGAGCCAGCCCCTCACACCCAGGGAAGGAACTGGGGTTCTCGGGCACCAGCTCTGGTACCAGAAGGGAGGGTAGGCAACATGTGGGACCAGAGCAGAGCCAGCCAGGAGGGTGGCCAGGGTTTCAGGCCACCCAGCTCCTTGTTCGAGGCCTGAACCCCTCCCTGCTTAAACACCTGCACTGGGCCAGTCTGTCCTAGAGACAAACCACAGACTTCCTCTCTCGATGGGCCTGGCCTGGGCCGTTTCCCCAGAGCTGGGCAGCCAGACAGCCTGGGGGAAAGTCCACTCCCCCCAACTCCATGAAACCAGGCACAGGAAGTCCCCACCCCCACCCAGGGACGCCTGGGTTGCAGCCCCTCTCCCAAAAGGATGGTGACAGACTTGCTAAGTGACAGACAGTCATGTGCTGTCTGGAAGCCAGAATTAAATGCCAGTTAGCAAGGCTTCTAATCGGTCTCCTTCCTGGCCGGGTCTCGCCGACGGCGGCCACCAGCCATGTTAGGTTGGAGGAGCGGCCAGTCCCAGGCGGGGGACGCTGCTCTTCTCCCCACAAGGAATGGTGGCAACTCTCATGCACTCCCTGGCCAGCCCGCAGGGAGAAGGCTATTATCATACCCATTTCGCAGATGTGGCAGTGAGGCTCATGCAGGCCAGGCGCCTGGCTCTCCTGCCCTGCCCCCAGCTGTCTGTCCAGGTCTTGGTTACCGCCCCCAGGGATGGGATTTCCATGCTGCCCAGCCAGGGCCTCTGCACTGTCTCCCTGCCCTAGCCCCTGCCTCCCAGCCATGTACTCCCAGGAAGGAGGCCGCTGGACCCCAAAGCAGGCTCTCGCCAGGGCAGGCCGGGTGCACATTGCCCAGGGTTCGTGGAGGGAGAGCCAGGGAGTGTGAGTGAGCCTGTGTGCACAGGTGAGCGTGTGCATCAGTGCACGGGCTGCCTCTGATGCCTCCGCCTCCTCCAACAGGGGAAGCGGAGGAAGGATTTTCCTCTCTAAAACGGGGAAGCATTTTTCTCTCTAAAACGGAACTTTTAAAAAGTGCCCCATCCAGACACCCACTGTCGACCTCTTCCTCTGGCATCCTCCTCCTGTCCGGACAGCCCAGCACGCACCATGTCTAGGACAGCCCAGGTCCTCCAGGCCCTGCAGGGCTCCTGCAACCCGCTCCCCAAGGTGCTTCGAGTTCCCTTTGGACGCCATGCCAACATCCACTCCTGAGCCCTCCCTGCCAAGCCCCTCAGTCAGCACTTAGGGCATTAGCTAATCCAACAGCCCCAGAGACAGGGGCCCTGAGGACCCCACTTTGGAGGAGAGGAAGCTGAGGCCCAGGATCAGAGTAATGGGGTAGGGACTTCACCGAGGCCTAACCCCCTGGCACCAAGCTCTCACAGGACAAGCTCTGTGATGCCAGGGGCAGAGGGGGCTCCATCAGGGTGGTGGCCGCCAGCACCACCTTGCTCAGCCCTGGCTAGGCAGGGCCCACGTGGGTGGTGGGTCCATGGGGACTGCGGCCGGAAGCAGTTCTCAATGCTCTGCACTGGGCGGGCCCCTGGGGGGAGGGGCCGGCCTCAAGTCAAGAGCGCCTGGGGATGGGATGTGTTGGCCTCCACCCCAGCTGATGGAAACTACCAGCCTGGGCAGGACAAGCTCCCAGGGGAGTTACCCAGGAGACCTCCCAGCTGGGCAGGTGGGAGGGACTCACCGTACTGACAAGAGGGCAAAAACCCACTTCTGGAGAAGTCCCTTCCTCCGCCTACGCTTCAGCTGTCTGCCCCACACCCTGCTCTCCTTTAGGGGCCTGGGCAGAGC